AAAAGCAACTACTCTTGTAAGCAGGGTAAATCAAATGAAGAACGTTTACAGAGGCTGGCTTGCTTTGGATGCCGGTGCGATCATCTGCTTCTGGTATATAGCTTCTAGACTTGAGGTACATCTGGATCCATTGAGATAAAAGAGGAGGTTTTAAGGAAACAAAGGCCAGTGAAAGATAGCGTCTTTCTGTACGCGGACACTGGAGAAGGAAGGGAACCAAAGCGTTGTTCACTCTGCCACTCAGATCTCTAGTTAGTGGCTGGTAAACATTACTTCGTTTGATGCATTTTTTCTGATTAAGCAAATGACCAACTCCCTAGATACTGCTTTAGTGACTTCTTGCTGGAAGGACAACCAACAGAAATTATGGTGAACAGTCACCCTGATGGTATACTTTGTACTTCCCTGAAACATGAGTGGAAAGGCCCGCCACACAAAGGAAAGGTTTCACTTTTGGTGAAGTGATAAAAAGACAGGCCACACGACTCAGCACTGGCAGTGCCACTGGAGAGCATGCTACCTAGCAACATGCCAGCTGCAAATCCTCCGGGACAAAAGACAGGTCAAAACAACACGGTGCAAATGCTTGCGCTGTGCAGATACTGCAGGAGTCTCGTGCTCAGCATGTGAGACTTGACAGGCTTGCAAGACTTGAGGTTTGCAAGTTTCTAGTATCCATTCATTAGAACAAGCAAAATTTTAGATTAATTATACAGGACAGATGCATGCATTATGCTTCCTCTTCCTGTAATAACAGATTCTGCTGTGAAGATCTCTTAAGTTTTTAGAAACCAGACATATTGACGGGCTTGATATTTATATGGGGTAATAAATAAGACATTGCAACATGCATAACAAAAACAAAAGCCTTACTTCTTCATCATCATCTTTTCTCCTCTGAAAGAGATGTTTCCAGTCAGTGCAAAATCTCAGAAGACAATTGCAAACAAGCCCCTGAACAACTTTACAGTGGCTTCAGTGTAAGTATGTCTCCCTTAAGAACAGAAGGAAATGTTTACTTTGATTCTAAATGTTAAGTTTTCCTTTAAAGCTCCCCCACATCTCTCACCTATGAGTGAACGTAATTCACATGGGTAAGCTTAGCAAAGAATCACAGTCTTTTACTGGAAACCATATTTTATGAAACGAGATCAAAAATATTAACAGCCAACATGCACAAGAGGTGCCATTTGAAAATATTCCTTTGAACTCATTTGACCAAGGCTATTGTTTGGAGTTTAAAAAAAAAAAAATCACACCTGCATGCAGACAGACAGTCTCTCTTTATCGGGTAAGAACAAGGTGCGGAGACTTGCGCAACAGATAATTAATCTCCATTGCTATCTATAGTTTCATTGTTAACACTATCTTGGTTGAAGTGTGAAAATATGTTCACACCTTTGAAAATGGGTGATTAACTAATCAAATGACAATATGAATCTTAGAAACATAGAAATGACTGCAATCCAACCCTACTTATGACTGTATTTTTATTTCTACTTTTATAGGAAAAAAAGCTGAAAACGAAACTTCTTCTTTATCAAGCATCTTTCAAGACTATGAGGGAATTTACCAGATTTTCCCCACTGTAGTCATCAGTGTAGAAAACTGTGACCACCATTACTAGTTTATTTCCACTGGAGCTCCCAACATTGTACTCTCAGGGAATTAACTGTAGGGATAATTTCAAAGAGATTGTAACAGAGAGATGATGTAAGCACCACTGAATTACCACAAGCAGATACTATTAGACAGCAGCTACTGTCCTATTAAGGATCTGTTAGGTAACAGTTATGTGTATTAAGTACTACTGATATTGTATCCATGTGCCAGGAGATGTCCCAATTAAGCAAGTTTTCTGGATGAGCATCTCAATTAAATGAAGCATGTAGCACTAATTTATATTTAAGTGCTATACAGTAAATGCCTCACACATTTCAGAATAACTTCACATGTATGTAGAACTTGTGGCAAGATTCGTTTCTAAACAAAATTCTTACTACATATAAAGTATATAGTCCAAATGTCATTTAAAAACTAGTGCCAAGGATAAGATCAAGTTAGACTTCAAGGTAGGCGTCATGTTTACAAAAGGCCAACCCCCCACCCTTTTTCCCTGTATACCCTTGGATGCTCCTACAGGATGGAACTCACATAATTGGAACTTTCATGTGGCAGAAGAAAGTAAAATTTCCCTTTTCTCTCTCTATAGGATAATGATCTTATTTACATCTAGACCACAATTTACTAAAAGGATGCACAATTTTTATTTACATAATGTCTAGCTTTTTTATCTACACTACCAAAATTCTTGACAAGATTCTTATCACTTCACGTTTCTAACATAGTAACTTCCTACTTTCTGGCTGTGAAAAGTGTCCCATTTATATTGATTCAAACTGCTATATAGAAAAAAATTTCTTTGCGTCACTGAGTCAGTCACTGTACCAACTTCTGGCATCATTCCACCGACTCCTAAGTCTGACACAAATTGTTCATCTTAATTTAAAACTCTTTCTGGCCAGTTTCTACACTGCTCTCTCATTGATGCCATACCTGCTACACATAATGTCAGTCCCATTTACTTATTTGTCAAGATTTCTAACGACATCTAATGACTTTCTCTGATGCTTTTTCATTTCCAGTACTTTAAAAAAGCCTAAAATAGCATGAGGCTTTATTATCAGAACCACCTCTGCAGGCTCCCTTTCTCAGAAACTATTTCAGTTCTTCAAATGTCCAGAATAACGTTTTTTCTACCCATTTTTTCCTCTTTTGTTTGTTTCTCCTTCCTCAAGACCCTTTCCTTCTTGCAGTTCTTAGCATTCTTCATTCTTTTCTCACATATGAGAATACAACTTGCAGAAAAATCCTATTTCTGCCTGTCAGACCAGATACTGGGAGAAGAAGCAGGGGCGGGCAGCTCCCCTGAGGTACAAAGTTGCTGGATTTTTCTTTTTATATTCATCGCTGTCGTTATCAAAGAACACAAATACTAGAATGCTAGAAAGTAAACCTAGTATACTGTCTCTGAAAATGATCAAATTAACAAAACAATACACAGAGCTGACATTAAAATTCAAAATTCTTCATCTTAAATAGATCTTGACAGTTCTGATTCTGCAGGGGCATACGTAACAACATGCAGCCAAGAGTGTAAGAAAAATGAAAGTGACTAAGTTCATTTATTTCATTTTTATTTATTTCAACTTACTCTTCTGAGTGCACATTCTCCTTTTTGGTTCTCACCCTGAAAGCTCCTTTTTATATTGTGTGTTTTCTTGTATTTTCTCATTGCAAATACAGACTTTTCTCAAACTGGCTGGTAACTTTTCTTTATTCTCTCTTATATTCATTGTTAGTAGTGGCATAGCCCAAAAAACCTTAACAAAACAAATACATATAGAGATGTTGCACTTTTATAGCCCTTTACAATTAATCAGTGTATAAACATTAATTGATTTGGTACAGTTTAAAGTTACAGATAACAGTTGTAATATCCACATTCTACCCTACGTTAAGGAATGAGATCAAACTTGTAGATTTAAAAAAAGCATAAGGACAAATAATGCTCTAACAGAAATGCTCCAGATCAGTAAGGCCAAAAGCATTCATGTGGAAGATTTTGCCTACATCACGCTCTACTAATTTCTGTGAATGTATCAGCACAAGGAACTTAGTCCTTCGTGCAGCCACAAGTTGAAGAAATCCATTTTCAAATAAAAGGACTGAATTATCACATGGGGAGAACAGTACAAATCTAGAAAACAGTAAGTGTGCATTCTGAGCTTCAGACCTTTACTTCAATAAAAACTCATTCTAAGAATAAGTGGTAACTGTGATCAAATTTCTTGCTACTGATTTTTTCTAAACTGCTTATGTAGAAATATATAAGGCCTATGCCAAAACGTGTTTTGGGAAGACTCCTGGACTTCTCACTTTACCCGAGAACGTAATGCTCACAGCTCAGTTCCTTTGCACAGGACAACCAGGCAGCTAGTTGCCCACATTTATTCCTCTATAACATACCAAAAGCATTTCTCTCTTTATCTTTGGTTGCTAGCATTTATTACGTATTACACAGCAAAGCTCTTCTCTTAGTTGTGCAATGCCTAATGAAACAGGTCCTTGATAAAACAATATACAGTGGAGATACTTATAGACCTTTGTGCTGAACTACACAGATGGGGTAAAAAAAAAAAAAAAAGAAATCTACGGAATAAACAACTGTGGTCTAGAATAACCAAAGTCCCTGTTTAGTTAGACTGAAGCATGCCAACAAAAACTTCCAGAGCACTATTTTGCCCGAGTTTCTGCTGGGATAGTAAACTTCTTCCTTCCCTCCTTCAAGCTTCAAATCCAGATACGTAGAGACACCAAACAAGGACTCTTGCCCACACGCCGGGAAGGCATTTTTTGAAGAGGAGCTGGTGTCACCTCTACAGAACTGTGGGGACTCCTCAGCGACTCCCAAGGACCGACCCCACCAACGCCACCTCAACCAGTCCCTTCACGCCGCTCCAACGCCTGAGCCGCCGCCACAAAGCGCCCAACCGCCGCGCACCTGCCCAGACCAACGGCGCATGCGCCGGGGCGCCCGCACTCCCCACCCCCACCCGCGCGGCGTGCCCGCGCATG